CCCTTCCGATTCTCCAGCATCTGCAGTTCCTACTATCAGAAGGAAACTTTATCTGCTTCGTTTTCAACACCTTTTTGGCAGCTCAATAAAACAGTCATACTTGTCATTTTGTTGAACAGTGCACTAAAAGACGTTAAACATAGTACAAGAAAATAATTTGCTGTATGTTTTAGTGCCTTAGGATTGCAGAATTCTTACTTTACTCTGTTGTTCATAGCTGTATGATGTTATAAATTGCTATCAGAATGATGGCCAGTAAGAGGAATTTTTTTGTCAAACTACAATCTTGAGCTTCTCTCGTTGATTGTTTTTATCCCCGATCAATGAGAAATCAGAACAATTTGCTATTAATCTCTTCTAAAATATCAAATTCCAGCTTTAATTAAATAAACACTGCACACTATCATTGACTGTTCCTGGACCCAAGAATGGCATCTATCCAGGGCCACAGGGTTTCTGTTGTACCCCTTCTTGTGGCTGAGCACATTGATTTTGGACCTGCAGATCTTTGGGAACATGGAGCAGTGCACCCCATGAAATACTGGGGCCTGGGTTTCATGATTTTCTTCCTCTTTGACCACCACTATGCCTTGTCATTGAAGTGTTTGGAATCAGGGCATGATGCTGCTTGATGTCTGTCAAATGCTTCTACTCCCAAAAATGTTGAAGGAGAGACTGTGGAATATCCTGAGCAATTGCCAAACATTGGCTGCCTTCTATAAACTAAAACAGTGAGTACTGTAGGAAAAAGACCTTCGCAAATCATCAGAAGACCCCCAGCTGTTGTCACTCATTTACTGTTGTTTGGCCTAGACTGAATCAGCAATACAGAAGAATGTAGACAGTGTGGTTAAGAAGGCATTTAACAACTTGCATTCATTGCTCAGACCTTTGAGGATAGGGGTTGGGGAATCATGCTGAGTTTGTACAGGACATTGGTGAGGCTTCTTCAGGAATACTGAGTCCAGTTCTGGTTGCCCTGTTACAAGAAGGATGTTATTATGTTAGCGTGAGCTCAGGAAAGATTGACCAGGATGTTGCCTGGAATGGAGGATTTAAGTTATAAGCAGGATAGGCTGGGACCTTTTTCACTGGAGCGTGGGAGCTTGAGGGGTGACCTTATAGAGGTTTATAAAATCACAAGGGTTATCAATAAGGTGAATGGCAGGTGTTTAGTCTCTAGGGTGGGGGATTTCAAGACTAGTGGACATATACTTAAGGTGAGGGGAGAAAGATTTAAAAAAGACATGAGAGGCAACTTTTTACATGGAGAGTCGTTCGTGTGTGGAATGAACTGACGGAGGAAGTGATGGATGCAGGTACAGTTACAATATTTAAAAGACATTTGGACAAGTAGATGAATAGGAAACATTTGGAGCGATATAGGCCAAGCGCATGCAGTGGGACAAGTTTAGTTTGGGGTTATGGTCAGCGTGGACTAGTTGGACCGAAGGGCCTGTTTCCATGCTGTATGACTCTATAAAAAAAACCAAAAGAACTGCAGATGCTGTAAATCAGGAACAAAAACAAAGTTGCTGGAAAAGCTCAGCAGGTCTGGCAGCATCTGTGGAGGAGAAAACAGAGTTAACGTTTCGGGTCCGGTGACCCTTCCTCGGTTCTGAGGAAGGGTCACCGGACCCGCAACGTTAACTCTTGTTTTCTCCTCCACAGATGCTGCCAGACCTGCTGAGCTTTTTCAGCAACTTTGTTTTTGTTCCTGATTTACAGCATCCGCAGTTCTTTTGGTTTTTATTCAGTTTATAGCAACTGATGAGTTTAATATCATCATAGAATCCTTACAGTGTGGAAGCAAGCCATCTGGCCCATCGTCACACCAACCCTCTGAGGAGCATCCCACCCAGACCCACTTCCATACCCTATTCCTGTAACCCTGCATTTCCCATGACTAATCCACCTAGCCTGCATATCCCTGGTCACTATGGGCAATTTAGCATGACCAACCCACCTAACCTGCACATCTTTGGACTATAGGATAAAAGTGGAGCACTCGGAGGAAACCCATGCAGACACTGGGAGAACGAATGTGTAGAGTTTGCACCGTCACTCAAGGGGGTAAAATTGAACCCAATTCCCTGGTGCTGTGAGGCAGCAGTGCTACCACTGAGCCACAGTGCCCACCTGCTTTCTTTTTTCCCCACCCAGACCCACTCCCCTATCCTGTCCCTGTAACCCTGCTTTTTGCATGGCCAATCCACCTAACCCACATATCTTTGGACTGTGGGAGGCAAACCACACAGACACGGAGAACGTCTGTGTGGAGTTTACACAGTTGCCCAAGACTGGAATCGAGACAGCAATGCTGATGCTACCCTAATAAGTTAGGACCCTTTTAGAAGTGTGAACTGCACTTCCTGCAAACAAGTGAAAGTACCTGGAGAAGGAAGATTGGTAAGCAGCTTTCTGATCAATAAAAGGGCAGGGACCATTGAACTGCCTTCCCAGTCTTTTCTTCTGCCAATAACACCCGTGTTTTTATTTCTGCCTGTCTGCACTTTATAAGTGGATCGCTTATAGTTATTAACTAGTTGAGTTATGTCAATGGTCCGTAATTGTTTTGCTGAAACTAGTCTATTTATTTGTAATAAATAGTAATTCTTCATAAGTACAGAAACCTGTTCAAAAAACCCAAAAGAACTGCGGATGCTGGAAATCTGAAACAAAATCGAAATTGCTTTAAAATTTCAGTACGTCTGGCAGCGTCTGTGGAAAGAAAACAGAGTTAATGTTTCAGGTCCAGGGACCCTTCTTAACTTCTGTTTTTTGAGACAGAAACCTGTTCCATGCTTTCTGTCAACTCGATCTAAAAGACAAATTGGAGGATTATATTTTGGAGGCACGACATCAAGCGTGCAAAGCCCTTTCTAAGAGATTGCCAATTAAAGCCAATCTCCTAGCGCACGGAACTACAGGAATCCCAATGTGTATGTTGCCCATTAAAGGTAGCCTTGCGGTAGATGGTAGGAGAGAACCCCCTGGCATGTTTCCAAACTAGTATATCAAGAAAAGGAGCTCATTTTTTAAAGAATAATAACTATTAGAGAGAGGTTCCAATGAGCACCTGTGGAACTGCAGTCCTTCAGGAGAAAAGGGAGTACAATGGAGGAAAACCAAGCTTAGTGACTTAATGCTGTGCAAACCTTGAAGCAAATTGAGCTGCTGAGCTTTCATTTGTGCATGTTGTCTTGAAGTTCTCTTGGCCCTTGCTTTGTATATGTATTCTACTAATCCCGTGATAGATCTTTTTTTTTTTATTTTTTTTTTGTCTTTTTGAGACGTTACCAAGTTCTGTAGATGGGACAGTATCTTGCAGTTCTATCCCGTAGGAATCTAATCCAGGCTACATTGATGAATTTGAAGCCTCGTTTCTGCTGGATGAAGAGGCTTGTTTGGAGCATATGTGGACCAGATAGGTTACCTACATTACCTGTCTTCACCTGGCAAATTTACTTTGACGTGTGGAATAGTGATATTATTTTAGTTTATCTGAATTTAAACCTCTTATTTTTAATAAGTGTTAGCATAGATTTAAACTTAAATATGGATGGATATATAGAAATCAAATTAATCTTCAGAAAGTGGAAAATATAACTGGACATTTTAGCTTACTTCAAAAGCACAGACAATAAATTAGATCTAACTTGCTGTTTAAAAAAAGTCACACTATTTATATTAATAGTTAAGACTGTATAATAAGCATTTCCCATTTTTTAAATAAAACAAATGATTTTAGATGTTTAACATTTATATTTTGATGTCCTGAGCTCTAATTAACTACTTGCTATCCATAGGAAAATAATCCTGTGAGTAGCAATTAACTTAATTCTTTTACCTTGCAGTAACCATCACCGTTGGAGGAAAGCAACATTTGCTTGGTCTATATGATACTGCTGGACAGGTATGGAAAAAGCTGAATTTCATACTTTACTGACTATGTACTAAATCTTGAGATTCTTGCACCAAGTAAACTTTAGGCTTGGGTCTGAATTCAGGATTAGTCATAAGTTAAAATGGCTTTCAATACTTAGTTTTTTGGATAGCAACAAGTTGGTAATTGTAAAATGTATGTTAACAGATTTGATAGGAAAAGGTAGTTTTAATTTCACAGCAGCTGAAAGTATCATAGAATCCCTACAGTGTGGAAACAGGCCCTTCAGCCCAACAAGTCCACACTGACCCTCAGAGCATCCCACCCAGACCCATCCACCTAATCTACATATCCCTGAATACTATGGGCACTTTAGTATGACCAATCCACCTAGCCTGCACATCTTTGGACTGTGAACTGTGGGAAGAAACTGGAGCACCTGGAGGAAACCCACACAGACACGGGGAGAATGTGCAAACTCCACACAGACAGTCGCCCGTGGGTGGAATTGAACCCAGGTCCCTGGTGCTGTGAGGCCACAGTGCTAACCACTGAGCCACCGTGCCGCCCAAAAAGCATGTTCATGGAGTTAAAGATCACACTCGACAAATTATTAGACTTGCTTGAAATTTTATCAAATTGCTTCTGTGTACTGAGACATCTTGATTTCAAGATTGGTCTGGCTTAATTTTTTTTTTAATTGTTTAGTAGTGTAAAGCTATATTTTGGATTTCAGTTTTATTTATTATAAATGTAACTTTAATCTTATAGTCGTGTAGAATCTTGCAGCATGAAGGCTGCCTGGTCAGTAATGCCTGTCCAGCTTTTTGGAAAAATTTGTCCAATTTATTGCTACAACCATGCATTTTCTCTACAAACCTGCAAATTAGTTTTCTTTGAGTACGTGTGTAATTGTGCTCCCAAAGTTCCTATGGATTGTGATTCTACTAGCCTTTCAGATAGTGATTTCCAAGTTGCAGCAACCCTCATGGTGCTGGTGGGGCTTCTCCTAATTGCCCCTCTTTTTGTTCTCTTGCCACACATTCTAAAATTTTAACCTTCTGTTACCATTTGCCAGAAGAGAGTTTATCTTGACTTGTTCCAACACCACCCGTAATTTTAAAAATCTCTATTGCATCTTGCTCAACCTTCACTGCTCTAAGAACATATCTAGCTTCTCCAATCTCTGCATACACTGAAGTGCCTTTATCCCCCTCCTCGACCCTTATGAAAGCCATGATCTTCCTTAGAAAAGAGTGGTGAATAATGCTGAAACTGGGGCCAAACCAGTGGTTGTTAAAGGTTTAGCATGTCACCCTTTTTCATATTTAATGCACCTATTTACAGAGCCAAGTATATTCACTTTCTCAACCGTCTTATCAACCTGCCCTGTCATTTTCAAAGATTTTTGAATGTGTTTTTAGGACCTTTTGCTCTTACACCACTCTCCGAATAGTACCTTTTGGATTTTGGTGCCTCTCCATGTTGTTTTTACCCAAAGAGCATAAACTTCTCCTTATCTACATTGCTGCTGTATTCCACATCCTCCCTGAGTCTGTAACTATCCTGCATTTGGTGCCCATGATTGAAGGGTTTTTAGGTGTGAGGTTTTTTGTGTTCAAGAGTGACTTGTTTCAATTTAAATATTTCTGGCAGCAAATTTTTATGAATTTAAAAATATGGGATGTTTATAATCACACATTTGGACTGCATGTTTAAGATATAATATCCCTTCCTCTCTGATTTTTTTCATGAGACAATGTGGTTGAAATCTAGAATTGTAAATGAATTGATTATTTACTTGGACAAAGAATCCTCTGCCCCCAGCTACAGTACTCCTTGTAGTTGAAGTCTCAGGATATCGTCTCTCAGAAGAGTTTGGGGGGAGATTCCTTCTACTGCTTTCAAGGAATATTCATATTTTACTGTGGCTGCATGGTCGTCTTACAGCTGGTTTGATGTGTTTCAGTTGGTGGTATCTGTCTTAGAACAGAACCTGGTTTTGCTGTTAAAACCTGGTTAACAAACATGGCTTCATGTGACCTTTGTGACCTGTTACAAATCAAAAGTTTCTTTCAGAAAAAGATGGCATCTTAGACCGATATACATGCTACGTTGACTTTTTCATTTTGAATGAGGCCACTAAGATCTTTGCATTTCCATTGTGATGGCTCCTTGTCCCAATAAGAGGTCCATGGGATCCATTCATATTCAACTCTCATTAAGGATCTTACTTGTCCATGGTAAAGCAAGAAGACAAGTCAGCTGATATGGTGGTCTTCTCTGTTGACTATCCATCGTTAACAAAAGAATGTGAGAGTTTCCCGAATGTCTGTGATTGTCCATAATTAGGTATTTGCCTGTGCTTGAGGACTCTGGAATTGAACGCTGCCAAATGGGCACATTGTTGCCAACTATGTTAAAAGCTTTAGTGTCTGTTTTTAAAACTATAGCTGTAAACATTTATAGTTTTGTTTGGCTATACTGGGTATGCCACCTTTTTACCATTATCAGGTTTTGTATCATTTGCAAATTTCAAAATTGTCCTCCTTATACCCAAGTCCAAGGTCTTTATGTAAAGAGAAGCAGTAATCCCCCTATTGATCACTGAGGGACTGCATACCTCTCCCCAGTCAGAAAAATATCAGTTCAGCACTATTATCTCCTATCCTTTAGTCAGTTATACTATGGCTACCACTATTGCTTTAATATCATGTTCTCCTATTTACCAAATAAATTTTGTTATTTTGTCAAATGCCCCATGAAAGTACACATTTGGTATTTTTGTTTAATTTGTTTACAGGATTTGGACATCAGGGCTAGGCCAGCATTTTTTGCCTTTCTGTGCTCTTGGGGAGGGAGTTCCAGGATTTTGACCCCGCGGCAGTGAGTGAATGTCAATATAATTCCAAACTGGGGTGGTATATGGAGGCAGTGGTGTTCCATGCACCTGCTGCTTGTCCCACTCCAGCTCGTAGATGTCTCAGGCATCTTGGTGAGTTGCTGTCATGCAAACTGCATCTGTAGTGGAAGGCGTGAATATATGAAGTGGTGGATGGTGTGCCAGTCAAGCAGGGTGCATTGTCTTAGATGATATCGAAATTCCTGTGATGTTGGAGCTGCACTTGTCCAGGAAAGTGAAAAGAGTTTCCATTGCATTCCTGCTTTGTGCCTTGGACCTGCACTGGGGAGTTGAAGGTGGATACTTACCTCACAACTCCAAGCCTGACCAGCTCCTGTAGCCATAGTAATTATAGGTCTAGTTGAATTCAGTTTCTTGTCCATGGGAAACCACAGGATGTTGAAAGTTGATTCAATGAATAACAAGGGGAGATAGGCTCTCTAGAAATAACCATTGCCAGGTACTTGTGTAGCATATTTTCTACCTTTGATCATGTCTTGTTTTATATGAAGACCCGATACATTTCTGTCATTTCTTGATTACTCACTGACTTGACATGAAGGCTGTCATTATTGAAAATGCCAGAAAGAGGGCAATTGGATTTGCAACTCAGCCACTTCTGGCTGAATATGATTGCAAAGGCTGCCTTTTGGAGTGATGTGCTAAGTTCCCCTGACACTGAGAATGGGGATGTTTATGGAGTTGCCTCCTCCTCCTAGGTTGTTTCATTGTCCACCACCATTTGTGACTGGACTATAGAGTTTGGATCTGATTTGTTGGAATCACTTATCCCTGTTTATCACATGCTTCTGCTGTTTGTCCTATGCAAATAGTCCTGTGCTGTAGCTTCACTTTCACTGCATTTTTCAGTAACCTGATGCTGAACCATGAGGTCAGAAATTGTAGTCGAATACAATCCTGATGCTGGTACCCTCATCAATGCCGCTATTTGCTAGATCTGTTTTAAATCTAGTCCATTTAGAGCAGTCCAGAGGCCACACAATATGTAAGGTTTTCTCAATGTGATTTTGAAACTTCATCTCCGTAAGAACTGCCAGAGGCAGGTGCATCTGCTACAAGTGGACTAGTGTGGATGAGGTCAACTAGGATTTTCCTTCTTGGTTCCTTTGCCACATTCTGTAGAACCAATCTAGCAACTATGTCCTTTTAAGATTCTACCAATTCCATCAATGTTTGTGCTACTGAGCCTGCCTTAGTGATTAGACATTTTAAAGTCCTCATCCGTAGTACCTACCTTGTGTGCTTTTGATACCCTCAGTGCTTTATCCAATCAGTGCTCAATATGAGGGACTGACTCATTGGTGGGGTGAGGGTTAGTTGGTAATCAGCAAGAGATTTCCTCATCTGTTTCTGAGCTGATGGCATGACACTTCATAGGGTCCAGAGTCAGATGTTGAGGATTCCTTCTTGTATACCATGGCACTGCCCCCTCTGGGGATAGGTCTGTTCTGCCAGTGGGAAAAGACTTTCCCAGGGGGGTAATGGTGGTATTGCAGACGCTAGAGACCTGAAACAAAAACAGAAATTGCTGGTAAAGATCAGCAGGTCTCACGGCATCTATGGAAAGAAAGTCGAGTTACTGTGTATCCAGTGACTGTTCATCGGAATAGTTCTGATGAAGCGCTTTCATGCACAACTGTTTTTTCCCCTCCAATACCAAATCACCTGTTACTTACCACGTGTACGCATTGTGATGCATACAATGTGGTGAAGATTAGTGGGAAGCCAGAGGATTGGGAAGCCTTTAAAATTCAGCAGAGAACAACTGAAGAAGCAATAAGGGGGGAGAAAGTGAACTATGAGAATAAGCTGGCTAGTAATATAAAAGAAGATTGCAAGAGATTTTTTTAGATATGAGGTAAGAATGGACATTGGACCATTGGAAAATGAGACTGGAGAAGTAGTAAGGAGAACAAAGATGTGGCAGAGGAACTAAATAGTTACTTTGCATCAATCTTCATGGTCGAAGACATTAGCAGCATTTCAGAGCTTTGAGAATTGGGGACAGAGGTGAGTGTTGTGCCCATCACTAAGGAGAAGGTGCTGGGGAAGCTGAAAGGTTTGATAAATAACCCAGACTAGATGGATTACACCCCATGGTTCTGAA